TCTCACCTTCCGCCTCAATTACCTGTTCAGCGAGTTGAGCTCCTCATCATACCACCTCCTCAACGTGGTTCTCCACGCCGTGGTGTGTGTCCTCTTCCTCCACTTCTGCCGTCTGCTCTTGGACCGAAACACCAGCCTCATAGCGGCTCTGCTGTTTGCTGTCCATCCCATCCACACAGAGGCTGTAAGTAACTGCTATTATGTCACAGATTTATCAACATGGTTTATGTAACAAAATCATGAAGACAAGCTTCATTTGTGGAATTTACTTCTGCTACTTTCATGTAAAGGGACTCTATTGGTCAATATGCCACAATCGTGTTGAAGTTTCCTTTATGATTTACTCTTCGCCTTTGTTGCTTGAGGAAACTAACTATCTTTGGCACAAAGTTGAGGAACAAACACTTGAATTAAGTGTCTTTGCAGATGCCACCTCATGGTGGCAGTAATAGACAGAGCTTGCTGTCCCAGTGTGCATTGCATGTAAATAGTCGTGCATTATCATGGAAAAACTGTTTGAAATTGAGCCTTTATCATTTCAGTCAATATTTATTTCATATGTTGTTCTTTCTTTTTAAGTGAGGTATCACTTAAAAAGAAAGGACAACATAAGGGCAAAATCCTCGGAGAGGGTAATTGACCTTGTAGCTCAATGAAGTGGTACACTATCTGATTAGAGTACTTTGCTATAGGACTGGTGTTTGTTTATCAGGTAGAGATCTGTGCTGCTCGTGAAATGGTTGGGGGATCAGTCCCTGTGCGGGTGACCTAAGAACTGGAGTGTTAATCTGATCTGAAATAGTCTAAAAGGGTTATTGAATTAATATTATATTTGTTGTTTATAATATGTAATTCTAAATATTAAATTGTTTTTGATAAAATATATTTTTGTAATAATAAGTTTGCATTTATGCATTTAGCAGATGCTTTTATCCAAATCAACTTACATTGCATTCAATGGGATCAGAATGATAAATTTCTATAATTATAAATAGCATACACTATATATAATATGCATTTTATATATATACCCAAGATGTGACACTCATATAGTTTTGAATGAGGAACAATGCAA